GTGGCCGGGCCATCTCCAGTGGCTCTTTGTCGGCCTTGGGTGTGGCTGGTGGGCTAGCCAGGTGAGGGGCACTGAGGCACGCGGCCTCCGTCCTGCCCAGGAAATCAGCCAGCAGCCCTGTACCCACCTTGGCTTCATAGGGCGGGCTGCGGGCAGCTGAGCCTGGAGGGTACCAGTATGCTGTGCCCTTGCAGCTGGGGGAGTCGTAGTGGGGTTGGCCCAGCGGCAGGTCCCGGCAGCTCAGGTGGGCCTGAGCTGCAGCTGCATGGCCCAGGCTGGCCCCCTGGAGCCCATGCTTGAGGGGTTCGCAGGCAGCCAGCTTTGTGGGTGGCGGCCGCAGCTCTTCCTTGAAGCCCAGTGTGGGCGAGCAGGTGGGTGAGTATGCCTTTTGCAGGCCAGCATCGAACACCGTGGGTGGGTGGGCCAGCGGTGGGAAATGCTTGCCATCAAGCTCGGGAGCACCCAGGCTGGGCGAGTCGCAGTGGAAGCCCTGGCCGAAGGTGCCATCGGAAGGCGTGGAGGGGTTCATGGAGTAGGGTCCTATGAAGTCACAGGGGTCTCGCTCTCCCACGCCAAAGGCCCTTGACTGTGAGGGCAGTGGTGACATGCTGCTGTCCCCACTGTAGTAGTCCAGGCCGAGGTCTGGACTGTCCTGGAACAGTGGATTGACCGGTTGTGGCTTGGGGATGAACTTGGCTTTGGTTGCCGCGCCACCCCGCTCCTTCTTGGCCGAGCAGGCCCCGCCGCCGCGTCCGCCCCGTGGCTGCCGGGGCCCGGTGCTCCGTTTGGATGGGTAGCCCGAGGCAGCGGCAGAGGCAGATGTCGGGAATCCTAGATGTGAAGCTTCGAACAAGTCCACCTTCTTCCGCCGTCCACGGCCTGGTTTGGAGCTGCTCTGGAAGAGGACACTCTGGTTCCAGTTGTAGCCAGGGGCGGACGATGCTTCGTTCCAGTCCATCATCAGTTTCTCCAGGCTGGATAGGCTGGACTGGCCCTCGCTGCTCGAGGCCTCACTGTTGGCACGCCGAAACCCACTGCCACCGACGGGCTGATTGAACTGGGTGCTGTCGGAGGACGACTCAGAGAAGGTCTCGGACACGGCTGTCTGCTGCTTCACCTTCTGCGGCGTGTAGTTGGAGATGTCCAGGATCACGTTGGGTTCGCTGACGTGGCAGTCGAAACTGGGATTGTAGAGCTGACTAAAGGCCTCTGAGGCCCAGTCCAGGCCTCCATAGCCCTGCCGGAAAGGCCACTGAGAAGCCCCCGCAAACTGCCGACAGTTCTCAGGCGAGGGCTGGAAGGAGGAGGAGGAGGAGGAGGCGGCAGAGGCTGCGGAGGTGGCGGAGGCTGTGGTGCCCTTGGGCACCATGTAGCCGCCGGGCGAGACAGTGCTGGCCCGGCTGTCACAGCGCAGGGGTGTGGGGGCTGAACCAGAGAAGGGGGTCCCCTCAGAGCTGTTGAAGAAGGAGGCCTTGCTTGGTGGCAGGCAGGGGCCCCCAGTAGGCGGTGGAGCATAGCCGGCGCTGTGGGCGCTGCTGGGCGAGGCAGGAAGGCTGCTGCCACTACCGTAGGCGAAGCTGCAGTCCTTGCTGTTAGCACAGTCTTGGCCTGTAAAGGGCTTAGCTGGGGCGAATACGCTTTGTCCAGCCCCATAGCCACCATACTGGGCGGGGTAGGTGTTGGTGGGCGGGTGGGTGGTAGGTGAGCGGGCCACAGCTGAAGGCGGAGGAACCAGCTTTGGGAAGGCCTCAGCCGCCCGGCAGTCTGAAGTGGCTGGAGTTATCCCATAGCTCGCTGCCCGTCCTGGCGGGAAGGTCTGGCGTGTGGGCAGCACAGGCTGGAAGGACGGGTCCGCCCCAGCCCCACTGCTACCCACTGCCACCGGGCTGGCCTTGGCTCCCCGGCTGGGGAAGGTGGCCGGGGCCCGCTGCGCAGGCAGGGCGCTGGTGGGAGGCCCCGCGTAGGTGCCTGATGCCTTCCGGGACTCAGGGCGAGAGGCCGAGAGGGCAAAGTCCAAGAGGTCGGAGGAGTCATCCGAATCGAGCAGCGAGCGAAAATAGCCGGTGAAGAGGTTTTGGCGCTCCTGACTGAGCTCGGACTGGCCTGAGGGTGCACCTGTGCTATAGTAGCTGCCACGGCCCGAGACTCCACTCTCCAGCCCAGCAGAGGCAAAGGCCCGGGCCTCGGTTCCCTGGAACCCACAGTTTCGGCCAGCTTGCCCGCCTGGGTGCCCATGGTGAGGGGCCCAGCCACCACCCTTATCCCCGCCCCACTCAGTGCCCGCCTCCCCAAAACCTGGGCCACTGGGCACCTGCTCTGGGAACAGAGTCCCATTCTTCCGGGACCGCCTCTTGCGCTTGGGCTTTCCAGTCACAGCATCCACCTCCCCCCGGCCCCGTT